AATCAGGCTCCACTACCTAACAAGAAAATCAATTTTGGCATCAATAGGATCAACTAGTGTTTGTACTTGTGCTAAACAAACACATTATTCCTAAATTAAAGCTAAGTATCAACACAAGATGAATGCAAATTGATCTTGCAAGAAAATCAATTTTGTCATTAATAGGATCAACTAGTGTTAGTACTCATAATAAACAAACACATTATTCCGAAATTAATGTTTAAATGTCAACACTATGTGGACACAAATCGATCTTGAAAGAAAATCAATTTTGTCATCAATAGGATCAACTAATGTTGGTACTTATGTTAAACAAACACATTATTCCTAAATTTAAGCTTAAGTGTTAATACTAGATGGACACAAATCGATGTTTCAAAAATGAATTTGTCATGAATAGGATCAACTAGTGTTGGTATTTATTATTTACAAACACTCGATTGACACAAATTAATGAATGGCATAATACATATATTGGACCCTTAACTTGATTTCAAATTTTAAGTTTGACCTCCAACTTTCACAATGCACAAACAGACATTTTAATGATCAAACTAGTCCTAAAAACGATAGAGAGGATGGGGAGAGAATAAGGGTTGATAGAGAGGGGTTAATGAGGAAAATTTGATCTGTCCATCAAATATTTAATAAAAAGCGACAGACTACGTCTCCATGTCCGCCACTTTTATTTTAAAGATATTTGACTAAATTTTTGACCAAAAAGAGATGGACAAAGAGACATTGTCCGACACATTTTAAAAATAATTTACCAGATATTTGACCAAAAAGCGACCGACTTAAAGATGTTATCTGTCACTTATTTAAGAAATAATGAAAATAAATAAAAAGTGACGGACGGCGTGACTTTTTCTTAATTTATAAATAATTATTTTAAATCAAAATCGACAGAATATCTGTATTCAATAATTAATTATTGATTATATATATATGTGTGTGTGTGTGTGTGATATATATATATATACATACATACATACATACATACATACATACATACATATATATATATATATATATATAAATGCGTGTGTGTGCGCGCGCGTGTGTGTATATATATATATTTGGCGCAAAATGTCGTACGCCACTTTTTTTTTAAAAAAAAATATTTTATAGAAAAGCGATAGGCAACACTTTTGTATCCGTTGTTTTTTAGTCGTGAATCATTATAAAATTTATTTAAAAAACTTCTTATATAACGATAACTATATTATAGAAGCGACTGTTGAGGAGCTTAGGGTCAGCCGGTCAATTGACCGATTTTCCCTTCTTCTCAACTTCTTCTATTTATATTTTGTATTTTATTATTCTAATTTATTTTATTTTAATATTTATTTTTTACTTACTATGTATTTATAATAATAGTACTAAGAATTAACTTATAATATTACAAATTTAATGACATCTCAGAATTTCATATATATGACCTAATTAGGATAATTAACAACTTAAAGTATTTGAAAATCATATTAAGATGTGATTAAATCTCAAAATTTCACATGTGGCAAACGATATTATACAAACTAACGTTGAGGAGCTTAGGTTCAGCCGGTCAATTGACCGATTTACCCTTCTCCTCAATTTCTTCTATTTATATTTTGTATTTTATCTATTTTATTTTATTTAATTTTAATATTTTCTTTTTTATATACTATGTATTTATAATAATAGTATTAAAAACTAACTTAAAATATTACAAATTTTTACTATGTATTTATAATAATAGTATTGAAAACTGACTTAAAATATTACAAATTTCATTAACTCTCAAAATTTCACATGTACAACATAATTAGGACTGAGAGAATACCATGTATAATTTGTAAATCACATTAAGAATTCTATAAATCATAATAATTAACAACTTAAAATATTTGAAAATCTTACTAAAATGTGGTTAACTCTCAAAATTTCACATATGCCAAATAAATTGGCACAAAGGGAGTAAAATATATTGTCACGTTAAGATTACTATTAATCACAATTTAAAATATTTAAAAACACATAAAAACTATAGTTAAATCTCACAATTTAATATGTGACATATTAATTCGGACAGGGAAATAACATGTAGTATTTAAAATTACATACTTGAAATACTATTTTAAAAATATAATTAAAATTTAGTTGACTCTTAAAATTTTACATGTGATACATAAATCATAATAGTTTACAACTTAAAATATTTTAAAATTATGTTAAAAATTAATTCACTCTCTAATTATCACATGTGCCAAAGATATTATTTGAAAAGTTCTTAAAAACATAATAAAAATAGTAAACAATAATACTAATTAAAACTATTCTAATTTTATGTGTTTCACAAGAATTAAAATAACTAATATATATATATATATATTGGGCCCTGCCCATACTTTTATATCTAGTTACTATAGAGAGGACGAATAAAATGACTATATTAAACATATTTCTTAAAATAGCATAAACTTGTTCACTAGTAAATGGGCAGAGGCTTTGAGTCAATGGCGGCTGGACAAATTGGTAATTAGTCAAATATTATCATGTATTATTATTTTATTACTATACATATATATTAAGACTGAGTTCTATTTCTTATTTATACCCCTTGAATCTAGGTGTAATGGTAATTTTTCATCGAAAATTGGAATTTTTTTCTTCTTTTGATCGAAGCCAGAAATTGTTATAATCGATTGTGGATTAAGGACTGTGGAATTGAAATGGATTCTGGTGATTGGAGAACTCAACTTTTTCCCGAATCGCGTCAAAGGATTGTCAACAAGATGTAAGCTTTTTTCTTCTTTTTGTTTTGCGATGTGTTCTTATTTTTCATTTGTTAAAGGATTTGGAATTTAGAATTTAGGTTTTTTTTGTGCGCGTGTGTTTTATGGATTATCTTAAGAAACCACATTTTGCTAGAGGTATTGATTAATCAATCTGATAGTTGGAGATTTATGTCATAGTTATTTCCAATTTCATATGGGTACAATCTGACCCCATGTGTGGGATTACAGTAAGAATGTTTTTAGTGTTGGGGGTGGGGGTGGAATCAGTCAAGGAACTAAGTCAAAAGGGAAAAGCTAGTTTTACTCGTTGTGCTTTATCTATTGTTTAAGATATGTCGAAATGGTAAGTTGTTGTTGGTGATTTTGAATTTCTTTTAATAGATTTGAGAAGTATATATCTAGATTGTACTTATATCAAGAGTTTATGTTGATATGTTTGTATAGAATGGAGACCTTGAAGAGGCATCTTCCTGTTTCTGGGCAACAAGGAGTAGAGGAGCTTAAGAAAATTGCTGTAAACTTTGAAGAAAAGATCTATTCGGCTGCTACAAGTCAGGTATGCAGTCTAAACTTGTTTCTTATTTGTTCGAATTGTAAAGCTAGCTCATAAACTACCCCTGCCTTTTTTTTATCCGATATGAGGCTTTTAATGCAATGTGTTCTTCAATACCATATAAGGGAACCACTCATCCCTTTTTCTCATTGGATGTGTTTCAATTTGTTCTCCGAGACCATATAAACCAATCAATTTTCATCCGATTAGGAACTTTTGATGTAATTTGTTCTCCAAAACCATTCAAGGTAAGTAGGTAACCATCCATTTATCCAATGTGGGATTTTTCTACGTGAATGATGCAATTTGTTCTCCTCTTCATTGACCTTATTCCTGCCATTATATAATTCTATTCGTCTTTCCAGTAATCTAGACACATTATATTATGGATGGCAAGGGGACCTGTATAAACCTGCGAAGATTTTGATCCCCCACCCGTATCATTATGTCTAAATTTGCTCTCATCAAGGTTCTTATAACAGGGAAATGGAAGAGCCTGATACTATATATCAGTTCATCTTAAGCATGAGATCAGTAATTTATTTAATTGATAATTTGTTTACCTATTTCAGTGGTGTCAAGAACAAAAAAAAACAGGGTTAATTCTGCATATTGACATGTTCTTCTCACACGTAAATACTATAGTATCATAATAATTATTATTCCCCAAGAGTGCTCACTATATAATTGTCAACACAAAATGATTAGAATCAATTTATATGTAATTTAATTATTTTCATATTTGAGTTATACTCTGAACTAATTTTTAAACTGATTGCCAAAGAAAAATAGTTAATTAGATCTAATTTGAACGTCTTATTACGCCTAGAAGGTTTAGTACTGAGAACTTAATTTCTTTGTTTTGCTTGTTCAAACCGCTGCTTGGAGATGCTTTATTTCAACCGAGGCCTGAGGGTCTATCGGAAACAATCTATCTATCTTTATAAAGTAGTCGTAAGATTTGTGTATACTTCTCACCCTCCCCAGACCCACTTGTGGGGTTACAGTGGATCGTTGTTGCTTAAACCCTGCATAGTTTTGCAACCCGACCGACAGTGCATCAATTTTTTTTAGAAAAATATTTGAACTCGCCCCTACCCTCAGTTTACCAACCCTATGTTGTATGTATTTTAACTTACATCTATCTAATGCAGCAAGATTATCTTAGGAAGATATCTTTAAAGATGCTGACCATGGAGACAAAATCTCAAAATTCTGGGAGTAGTGGTCATAATGCCCTTAGTCCAGGTGAACAATGAAGTCTCATGTGCTGTATTTTAATAGGGAAATATCTTGTTTGACAGGATGTTTTGTATAAACTTAATGACTTCATAGATTATGTTTTCGTAGAACTTGATAAATTATGTTTTTATATGATTGATTATAATTTTATGACATTCTATTTATAATATTAATATTTTTGTCAAGCAAACATTTCATGATGTTCATAAAAAATTGTGCTTTTAGTTTTTATGATTTATTTAATTAAAATATACTATATTGAAAAATATAAATTAATTATTTTTATAATATTAATTAAGGACATGACCCCAACTAACAATTTATGGTTGTTTCCACCATAGAATTTATACCAAATCCCTTCCCCATCATTCTTAACCCATTCTATTACGTTCTACCGTTCGAAAACTGAATTAGCTAACCTTTAGCCTCAAGAATGGTGAAAAAAGAGTACTTAGCTCTAAATGTCAAAAAAGTGCCAAATAAGGTCGTTTAGGGGTTTATTAACGAACTTAACTTGCGTCCTTCCTGCCACAGCAGCGGCGCCAGAGCGTCAGAATCCCCCACTAGGGCGTGACTCTTGAACCAGTGAGCTCCTTCAAGAATTTCCAAAATTCCATTACACAATACACCACTAAGCCATGACACTCAGAAAATATCTTTTACGCTAAGTTCGGTTCATGGAGTTCTACTTACTCAAATTCAATTCTGAAAAGTCATACGAGTTCGTGAACATATTATCTAACACCTTATGTGATAAAATTCATCATTAAGTCACCCAATTGCTACCAGCTTTCCCAAAACCTTTAAGAACTCGATTTTCTCTAAATCTGGACAAGGTTGGAAAAAATCAAATACTACTAGAATGTTTGTTGAGCCAAATTTTCGCCTATTGGCATTTCTATAATGATGGTACCATGTCGTTAAATTTTTTCAAGCCTGGTTTATTCAACGCATCACTTTAATAGAACAACTTTAAAATTATGAATTTCGCGGTCTTGGGATTACAGACCAATTAAAACAACACATAATCATTCAGACTACAATAATTAAGTACATAGAAAATATCACAGTATTATCAATGACTATAAATCACTATTAAGAGTCTCTGTCACAAAGAGTAATCTATAACCTACCTCAACCAAAGAACCTAAGTCAAGCAACCTAATTACCCAACAAGTTTCTTCTCTGCAATGCCTTAGAACGTTCTAAATTTATCAAGCATGAATAATGCATAAGTACATGAGTCCATCGACATCAATATTGCTATACCTGTAGCCTAGGTATAAAAAAGAAAAAATTCACCCTACATATATATTTAAAGCGCAATATTATGAATTTTAAATCTACTCTTAAAATAATATTACTTATAACATTTTAATTGCTGGTAATACAATATCATTTTTAATTTATAAATCAATTTGATTTAATTTTATTAAACAATTAAAATTTATAATTATATTTATATTATTAAGTAATATAATTAAAGAATCAATCATAATTATCTTTTACCCGATTTTAGGGATTTTACCTTGATTCATGTTCCTTTTTATTGCCACACGTCAAACAAAAAATGGGTATGACAAATAATGAAAAAAATCATTTTTTCATACCAAAATACAGCATTATACATTTAAAAAAATGTCATGTTAAAATTATTAAACAAGAAATGTGAAATCAGTATACTAATTTAATGCAATTTTTGTGAACACTTTTCATATACATTTCATACTAAAATTATAACTATTTCATCACATAAGCTGTCATTCTCACAAAAGAATCATGTCAATATAATACAAATTTTTACTAACCATAACTATTAATCGTCATTTATTAGATAATGAGTGCATAAAATTCATTCCAATATAATGTCAAAATTGTAACAACATGGTATAACTAGTGTACCAACTTCAAATAAATTTATGTAACTTTTTAAACCATTAACATACAGAAAAAATGAATGTTCATACCAAATCTATACCATTTTCAAACAAATTTTATGTAGTTTCAAAAAATAAACGTTCATTACAATAATGCCATAATTCAACATTATACACAAACAAAATCTGAATATTTTTTTTCCAATATCACTGTGTTTAAGGTTTTTTTATATTTTGTTAGTGTACCAATACAAATAATAAATCGTAAGGAACACTGACATGAAGGATCCCATTTACCACCATATTTTATTAATACCAATAAGAAGTGGTGCATTACAAGAAAATGAAGATTATCGAATGAAAACGAGAAGAGAGAAATGTTTGAAAAAAAGAAGAAATATGTTTTAAACGAATTTAATTATTCTGAGTTAAACATAGAAAACAAATATTTCTTTTTTTATGAATCTCCTATTTTTATGTCACATTCAGTGTTGAATTCAAATCATTTACTGTTGTAACAACCTGAATCGTTATTATTTGAGAGGGAAAAAAATACGTGAAAAACCCGGACTCTATCGTGCTAAAACGGGATAGATGTCGTTGGTGCGGCAGTGCTAGTTGCCGCTGTAGTGGTATTGGCGAGGCATAAACCTTAATTACAATTTTCCATCTATCTAAAAATACCCCATAGGTCATAAATTATGCTAGAAACCTATGAAAAGTTTTTCATAGTTTGGAAAGAAGGAAAAGGAGCTTTCTAGCATGGGGATGACGAAATCTTGCAAATCCATGGACAAATTCATCGTAACAAATTCGAAAAAGCTAGAAATGGAATCAAAACTCCATGCAATTTCTTGGTGCCCATGTATGTTAGGTTTTATGCATTGAGTAGTTGTAAATCTATGCTTACCTTGTAGTATACGGAATCAGGGAGAGATGCGAAGATGTTCATGCACTGAGTAAATTTCGTTGAAAAATTCCTATAATGCAACATATTTGGTTAGTGCTTTATGTAAAGAATTGATGACTAGTTGAGTTGTGTAAAATGTTTTCTTGAGTAGATTTCCTTCATCAAAAAATGATATTCGATAGAACGGAATAAATTTGGTCTATGTTAGGTTCGACCTATCGAAGTAACAAGTTGATGAATGTTAGAAATTTAGGTTTAAAACCCAAATGACGAACCCTTATGAAGAACTAGGGTTGAACTTGGTCGAAAATTCTTAGGTGATGAGTGTGATCTATGCTCGTGCGTTCATCAATTTGATATGTATATATGTATGCATTTTAAGATGTTGTTCACACTTGTCAAAAATGACATGTATGAATTGTTAATACCATGAAATCATGACTTGAATGTATGATCTTGATGATGTGTTGTGATTGTTATTATGGTGTGCGATTGGGATCAGATTCCGGAAAGCTAACTATTGGATCGAGTTGCCACATTCTGGCACATCTATTTGATTGAGTTGTCACATTACGACATAAGCATTGGATTGGGTTACCATGTTCTGGCAAAACTTGGGATTGGATTGCCACGTTCTAACAAGCTAACTATTTGAGTTTGGGTTCTGTAAGAGAACCAACTACTTGTGGCAAGAGTATAGGGTAAATCATGTTATATTTTGGAATTGTGATATGCATATACTTGTGATGATTACTTTCATATCGAATTATGACAGGGTTTAGGTGGAACTATGTGTCGGTATGTGAGTATGTGGTAATGTGTAGATGTTTTATGAGGTGTACTTGTTGGAAAAAAGTGAATTGTCGAATTGTTGTGTGGGTAAGTACCCAAGAGGGATGGAATACGACTATAGATTGGGGTAAGGAAAAAAACTATATGACTTGGGGTAGATAAGGTGACAATAATTTAAGAGTGTGACTTGATCGATTGGTAGGAAGGGATGTTAGTGGTGTTTGGGATTAGCCAATAGGGTTAGAATGTTTAGACTATGATTTAATAGAACTAGAGATGTTAGCGGTTGGGAAAGAAAATTTTTAGTAGTCAGAGAACTGGTGTAACTTGAAGGTGTTCTAAGAAAGGGCAAGGGTGGAGAAATGAGTGGTACATGCATGATCCTATTATTCTTTTCTTATATTATGAGGTGGTCGTCGAGTTTAATGATGATGCCTAACAGTACGTGTGGTTGTACTAATATTACTCTTGGTATGTATTTTTTGACATAGTTTTGATGTAGGACTGGTGATGTTTTAATAGGTGAAGATGAAAAATCCTCCAGCAGCTTCAACTCTTATTTCTGCATTGTAGACGTTGTGTTCTTTTATTATTTATTGTCCAATCGTTACTCTTAGTAGATCTTGTACCTGTAAAACTAGGTCCTTGGGGTTGTTGAATTATTACAAGTTTAGAAGGAATGTATTTGAAAAGTGTTATTTATTAAATCTACTTAACTTTGTTATTCCGTCTTCTTTAATTTCCGCATATTTTCTCTATTAAGATGTGAGGGTTCTCTTAGTTAGGTGTTAGAGTGGGTGCTCGAATGGACCGGTTGGATGAGTCATGACAAATTGGTATCATAGCTTAAGTTATTGGTCTCCTTGTACAAGAGCAAAATTTAAACTAGACTTTGGTGGATTGGTGTGTTGGCATCCACATTAATCTAAAAGAGGCTAGGAATCATTCTAGGAAGTCGTTCCACTCCTTTTGCTACTATCGTGCGAAGCGTCGTTTGTGGCATAAGTTTAGTCCAATCGGTATCACCCGATTCCAATTGGTATCTTGACGATGTAGACTGACATCATGGATATGATCGAAAAACACCAAATAGTTAACTGAAACTGGAAGGTTCCAATTGTTATCTAGTCCTAGGGGCTATAAAGAGCATGGATGACCAGTAATGATCATCTACACAACGAACTAAATAATACATTTAAACTTCGTGTGCTTTGTAAGTGGAAAACTATGAATGTGTGCCTTGTTAATTTAACTTAGCTATAATTGTGTATTGCTTGTTGAATTAATTAATTATGTATGTGGCAATATTCTCAGATGGACTAAATTATTGACGATGGGAAAGAATATAGTAGGTATGGGCAACATCACCAACGATACCGTGTGGAGTGTTTGAAGTCAAGTAAAACTCTGACTGAATTGTTAAAATTGTGCAAGTCGTAATGTCTGGGTGTATCTTGGGGATGTGTACAATAGTGTTGAGTTGTCTTAAAGCATTAGGAAACAAACCTCGTGCATCATAGTTGGATAAATCTAGAAGCCCCATGGGATGGTGAAAATAGAGACCTAGAGAATCGTGGGAAGTGGAAAAAGAACCCTCTAAAATTTTGGCCT